CGTGTGTCCGTAAACGCAGGCTGTGTTTGCCCGCGCTGAGAACCTGGTGCTGGAGGGTCGGGTGGTGAGGTGCTGGAGGTCGGGTGGTGAGGTGCTGGAGGTCGGGTGGTGAGGTGCTGGAGGGTCGGGTGGTGAGGTGCTGGAGGTCGGGTGGTGAGGTGCCGGAGGTCGGGTGGTGAGGTATTGGAGGTCGGGTGGTGAGGTGCTGAAGGGTCGGGTGGTGAGGTGCCGGAGGTCGGGTGGTGAGGTACATCTAGATGTGTATAAGAGACAGCGTAGTAGTGGTGTAATGATGCACGTAGTGGTGTAGTGATGCACGTAGTAGTGGTGTAGTGATGCACGTAGTAGTGGTGTAGTGATGCACGTAGTAGTGGCGTAGTGATGCACGTAGTAGTGGCGTAGTGATGCACCTGTCTCTTATACACATCTAGATGTGTATAAGAGACAGCTATTACTGCTGCTGCTGTTTCCATTACTGCTGCTGCTGTTTCTACTACTACTGCTGCTGCTGTTTCTACTACTGCTTCTGCTGCTGTTTCTATTACTGCTGTCTCTTATACACATCTAGATGTGTATAAGAGACAGCACGTACGCTGCTCAGTGCACTGCCGCGCTCACGTACGCTGCTCAGTGCACTGCCGCGCTCACGTACGTGCTCAGTGCACTGCCACGCTCACGTACGCTGCTCAGTGCACTGCCACGCTCACGTACGCTGCTCAGTGCACTGCTGCGCTCCACATCGCTGCTGCAGGCCGACATTGCGGTAGTGAAACTCTCATGAAAGCTGAAGACGACGTGACACTGTTGCTGCTGCTGCTGCTGTTTCTATTACTGCTACTGCTGTTTCTATTACTGCTGCCGCTGTTTTTATTACTGCTGCTGCTGCTGTTTCTATTACTGCTGCTGCTGTTTCTATTACTGCTGTTGCTGTTTCTATTACTGCTGTTGCTGTTTCTATTAACGCTGTTGCTGTTTCTATTAACGCTGTTGCTGTTTCTATTACTGCTGTTGCTGTTTCTATTACTGCTGACGCCGTTTCTATTACTCCTGCTGCTGTTTCTATTACTGCTGCTGCTGTTTCTATTACTGCTGCTGCTGTTTCTATTACTGTTGCTGATGCTGCGGCAGCGTTGGGGCGGCAGCGTGCAGCTGATTGCTGGTGTCGGCGGTGGCGTGCAACTTCCGTCCGCCCCCCAGGAATGCGCGCTGCAGTGCGACGTGTAGGCACTTCCCTGTCCCGCTGTCCGTTCCTCTGCCCTACTGCCGCTCGCTTGATACAGCCTCCATTACCACTGATTTAATACGTATTGTTACTACGTGGTTCCTACTACGTGCATACGCCACTACTACGTGCATCACTACGCCACTACTACGTGCAAGTGAGGTGCCGGAGGGTCGGGTGGTGAGGTGACGCAGCGTCGTGTAGGGCGGCAGGTGTTGACTGCGCGACGTCGTCGCATGACGCAGCGCATTGTCAGCGTTCCACGTGTGCCGCGTGTCTCGGATACGTTTCTAACGTTTCCTTGTCAGATACGTAACTAGTATATTATGACTATTGTCAGGAACATTTAACCTTGTTATTATTCGTGATTCATCTACCTCACCGCCTCATCCATGGTCACTTGTTACGCACTCCACCTTCAGCGGCGTTACAGTAGCGCTAGCATGTAGTGGAAGACTTGTCTTTCATTTTCTTCTGCCCAGTCTGCCTGAGAGTTCTAGGACATACAAATATAACATAACACCACCACAACTCTTGTTGAAGATTCGTGGTTATAACACAAGTTATGTAAAAGCCAATTTGGGACACCATCGAGCGATTCGCGCTACTGACTGGGCGCTGGTGAGAATGGGGACGCTGGTCACTAGTACCATGAGGGCGCTGGTCACTTGTACTTTGGGGGCGCTGGTCACTATATAGTACCATGGGGGCGCTGGTCACTAGTGCCATGGGGGCGCTGGTCACTAGTACCATGGGGGCGCTGGTGACTAGTACCATGGGGGCGCTGGTTTTAGTACCATGGGGGCGCTGTGCTGCTGTACCCCGCACTGCTGGGCATCGACTCCACCAAGTGGCAGACTGGATGTCTGCAGTAAATAAAATACCAACCAAGTGTCCATTGAACAATTTAAGACGTATTCACGTTCGTAAGTGAGTGGTGGTCTCTTATCAGCGTCAGCGATTTATCAGCTAATCAGAAGCTGTAGCAGCAAGGTGCTGCAGTGCTCGGGTATCTGCCAGCAAGACAGAGCGTCGACTCGAGCGTCGTGATCAATGAAACCTTAGTGGTGACCTTATTGCTGCTGCTGCTGGTGGTGAATAGTGCTGCATATACCTAGCAGCTGCTGGTGATGACTAGTGTTGAATATAGCAGCTGCTGGTGATGATTTTGTGAAAGGTTCGTGCTGAGCGCGACCACTTCGGCTCCAATATCAAGTCTTACTAATTGCCTATGTTTTAGAATAAAATATATTATGAGTTCAGTTGATTGCGGAAGAAGATTAATGAAAAGTGAGAAAATGATGGGGTGGTGGTGACATCGAGCGAAACTGTCAAGTTGTGTGGTGAATCTTGCTTGTGATGACTCGTAATGCAACCAAATTCCGCCCTGCCATGCTCAAGTTCATCACTCACGGGTACGTTCACCAACCGTCGCCGCTCTTGCCATTCATTCAGTATATACTACGAGCGCCCCTGCCATTCATTCAGTATATACTACGTGCACTCCTGCCATTCATTCAGTATATACTACGAGCGCCCCTGCCATTCATTCAGTATATACTACGTGCGCTCCTGCCATTCATTCAGTATATACTACGTGCGCTCCTGCCATTCATTCAGTATATGCTACGGGCGCTACTGCCATTCATTCAGTATATTCTACGTGCTTCAGTATATACTACGTACGCTTCTGTCATTCATTCAGTATATACTACGTACGCTTCTGTCATTCATTCAGTATATGCTACGGGCGCTACTGCCATTCATTCAGTATATTCTACGTGCTTCAGTATATACTACGTACGCTCCTGCCATTCATTCAGTATATGCTACGGGCGCTCCTGCCATTCATTTAGTATATTCTACGTGCTTCAGTATATACTACATACGCTTCTGTCATTCATTCAGTATATACTACGTGCAATCTCGCGTTTCATTCAGTAAATGCCTTCTTCTATGGCAAGGAATTCCTTATCGCTTATCTGGCATATCAGCCACTCTCTCCGTGCCAGCTTTCTTATCTCATTTTCATACCTTCATACACAGTGACATTACCATGATTCATACCTTCATACCTGGTGACATTACCATGATTCATGCCTTCATACCTGGTGACATTACCATGATTCATACCTTCATACCTGGTGACATTACCATGATTTATGCCTTCATACCTGGTGACATTACCATGATTCATGCCTTCATACCTGGTGACATTACCATGATTCATACCTTCATACCTGGTGACATTACCATGATTTATGCCTTCATACCTGGTGACATTACCATGATTCATACCTTCATACACGGTGTCATTACCATGATTCATACCTTCATACATGGTGACATTACCATGATTCATACCTTCATACAAGGTGACATTACCATGATTCATACCTTCATACATGGTGACTACCATGATTCATACCTTCATACACGGTGTCATTACCATGATTCATACCTTCATACATGGTGACATTACCATGATTCATACCTTCATACCTGGTGACATTACCATGATTCATACCTTCATACATGATGACATTACCATGATTCATACCTTCATACCTGGTGACATTACCATGATTCATACCTTCATACATGGTGACATTACCATGATTCATACCTTCATACATGGTGACACTACCATGATTCATACCTTCATACATGGTGACACTACCATGATTCATACCTTCATACCTGGTGACATTAATATGTTTTTCATATCTTTATTCATCATTGTGGCGTAGAGCTATTGCATAGCATAATTGTGGTGCAGCATCACTGTGGCGTACAATAACATCACAGCGCCATTGTGTAGCATCACTGTGGTGCAGCATCACTGTGGTGCAGCATCACTGTGGTGTGCAATAACATCACACATTGTGATATTGTGATGTGTTTCACTGCACGTGGCGAGGTTCGAGCTTCGCGTCCCTCGCGTTTATCGATCTCTGCCGCGCTGTGCTGCGTGGTTCTGGCGCCTTGCTGTTGCTCTTGCCTGTTGATGCCGCTCTGCGCACCGCCGCGTCTCTGCACACCGCCGCGTCTCTGCGCACCGCCGCGTCTCAGCGCACCGCCGCGTCTCTGCACCCCGCCGCGTCTCTGCACACCGACCGCCGCGTCTCTGCGCACCGTCGCGTCTCTGCACACCGCCGCGTCTCTGCACCCCGCCGCGTCTCTGCGCACCGCCGCGTCTCTGCGCACCGCCGCGTCTCTGCGCACCGCCGCCGCGCGGTGTGCACACAACACCTGCTTTTACACACTCTGCCCCGGTCACCACACTGCAGTGATTGCGTGACCTGTCTGAGTGCGCCGAGGGCAGGTGTTGGCGGCCGGCGGCTGCTGGCGTCCGTTACAAAACCGTCACTGCGCACCTGCCCGTGGCCGCCACTAATGGCCAGCGCCCTGGGTAACGGGCTGTACTGCGCGTGTACTGCGCAACGGCGCTGCAGTTGCGTGATGGCATGAGGCGCCCTCGGTAACAGTTGCGTGGGTATTTTTTTGAAGGGCGCGCCTCGCTTCTGCGCCGGTTTACTTCATTGGGCACGTTTTCCATTTTAACGCTCGACTCGCTGTAGCTTTTCTGACACAGGGAACGTTTGTTCAATCTGACGCGTGCACGTTTGCCTCATTAGTCAATAGGCGCATTTGCTCCTCGGATGTTTGACATGAGGAAAACTCTTAATTTATTGTTCTTCAAAATGAGCTTTCCTGATCGCAATGTTTATCAATCAACGTTGTTGAAATATCTGATCCCAATTGAAATGTTTTTCAGCTCGCGCAAGTCGGAGGGAGGAGGAGGAGGCAGCACAACTGGGGGGTTTGGGGGATCAGAAGACACCTCTAAGAGGGGGTCAGTAGTGGGGCTGCCCCCCCTCGTGCCACCATCAGCTGCTGTACACACAGAGCCCCCCGCCATGATCAGTGTCGTCGAGTTTGATCCTCGGACCCGCGAGATGGCGGTGGACGTTCCCGACTCCTTCATAGCCCGCACCAAGACCCCACCCAGGTGAGCAGACCACTCGCAGACCAGTACACGTTGTATGTATTACACGGCCTAGTACCCAAGTACCTTGTATGTACTACACGGCCTAGTACACAAGCACATTGTACGTACTACACGACCTACTACACAACTACATTGTATGTCCTACACGGCCTAGCACACAAGTCCAGGTAGTGGCCATTTTTTCGCCTATGATTGGTGGCTTTAGCTTTAAAGCAGACAACGATTGACTGACGGAGTTACTAACTCATAACCTATTTTATATTTTATATTGAGGCTCCAGCCCCCAGGTGCTCCACGCAGGTCCTGACTATTGATACATATACGCTTGTCTGTACAGGCCTGCGTACAGAGTACGCATCTCTCGTGCCACGTATACGCGCGTAAACTCTGAAGCGCAGTCGCCCGAGCGTGTAATTAACCCATACCGTCATTATTTGGGCACGTGCTTCATATATTTCATTGCAAGTAATGATAAAGATCGGTAACTTGTGATGTATTTACAGATACCCGCCACCCAAGTCAGCCTCGACTACTCCCTTATACTGCAATAACAACTACAACAAGAAGACAAGAGATGGAGACGTGATCCCACTCAACGGGAGCTATGCTCCCCACCCTGACACCCACACGGCCGTCGTGGTGCAGACACCCAACTCACAGGAAGAGGAAAATAGGCTACTTAAATATGAGGTGGGTGGGCGGGTAGGAGTGGGCTTGGTGAGTGGGTGGTTTGGTAGGAGTGTGCTTCTTAAATATAAGGTGGGCGGCTAAGCAGGAGTGCGACACTTGGATGTGAGTGAGAGTAGAATATATTTTGCAAGTATCAGCAAGATAGCTCACGTTATTATCTACAAGCGCATTGTGTCTTGCGGTATTTAATTTTCCTGGAAATGTTGCTCCACGCTTGCTGCTTACGTTGTATTCAATGCAGAAATTCGGCCTCAATACCATATGGTATTGTAGTTGAAGTTTTCCCAGAATACTCCACGCTCTTGTCGATGCCCGAGCGACACTCGCACTTTCTGTGATGGCCTTTAAATATATTCAATTGCATTGCTAGTGGCACCGCGTGGCACTGCTAGTGGCACCACGTGTCACTGCTAGTGGCACCACATGTCACTGCTAGTGGCGCCACGTGTCATTGCTAGTGGCACCACGTGTCACTGCTAGTGGCACCACGTGTCACTGCTAGTGGCACCAGGTGTCGCTGCTAGTGGCACCACGTGTCACTGCTAGTGGCACCACGTGTCACTGCTAGTGGCACCAGGTGTCGCTGCTAGTGGCACCACGTGTCACTGCTAGTGGCACCACGTGTCACTGCTAGTGGCACCAGGTGTCGCTGCTAGTGGCACCACGTGTCTCTGCTAGTGGCACCACGTGTCACTGCTAGTGGCACCACGTG